GCGAGTCAAAATGCATCCCCGAACCCTTCCTATCGCCCTCCAGCGGGCCTCTTGGTCGATGAACTTATAGGCCGCTTCCACGCCCTTCACCACCTTTGCGAATAGAAGGATCGAAGCACCGTCGTGGCAGCTGGGGGTTCGTCGCATGCTGGCTTGTGTCAGTGATGCACCTTTTAAACCCCGTGTCATTGGCTAGGCTAGTGTACCGTGCCTGTAGGCCAGTTCGTGGCAGCTGGGAACGGCAAGTGCGTGAGCATCTCTGACCTTCCTTCCAGCTCGTGCTTTTGTGGGCACCTGTACAAAGCCTACCAGCTGCCAAGCTTGCGGCCAGGTTGGACTTGTCCCGGGGCAGCAGGTGTGCGCCTGCACCAGCCCACACATGTCTTCTGACTGAAGTCGCAAGGCTCGGCTCAGCCTCCTAAAGTTTGTCTGATAGGAACTGAGCAACGGGTGCCCACCGGTCGGTGCGCTTGGGGGCGGTCGGTTCTGGACCAGATGAACCTTCTACACTTCTTGCCGTGCTTTGTCTATTGTTCCTGTTATCACGGGTGCTGCTGCTCAACATGAAAGCATCACCCTTGCGACCGATATTTTATCCATGAGGACGACGACTACGACTGCCACTAAACCCCTACTGCTGCTGCTACTCCTACTCCTACTACTGCTGCCACCACCAACTCCTACTCCTGGCTGGTCGTTCTGATAGTCAGACTGACACTGAGAGCCAGGTCTGTTAGTACCCTTCATCTCCTTGCCGGCTTCCGTGCCTTGCCACAGTGTGTATCACCCCAATGAAAAGCGCAGATGACCCCTCTAAGTCGCAACTGGCCTTCGCCCTCTATCCTTGGCTTCCGCAGTGCTTGGGAAAGCTCTCGAAATTTTGGGTGCAAAAGGAAGAGGACAGCTCCAACAAATGGGGCTAGAACTCAAGCGACAGACAAAGCGAATGCACACAGACGCAATGCTCGAGCTCGAGTAGCAGGGCACTTTGTGGCACTAGGCTTTTAGGCCGACCGCCCGCACGCCTAGAGCCTTACTGTGGATCATCGCCACTGATGTGATTACTTCTGATAAGAAAAAAGGAAAATATACAATAAGTTTTTACAATCATAGAATAGGGAATATATTGAATATAGAATATACACTACATCATATGATTAAACTCTCCTTTCTTAGAGCTGGCAGGCGGCAGGGCTTTAACTTCAAGGTATGCGGAAGCTGCAAGGATGGCTTAGGGCTTGAGTGAGCATGTTCGGCACAGATTGTCGGCTTGTCGGGCTTCGGCTTCAGAGACGCAGGTGTCAGAAGTCCCAGGGGTCTTGGGCAAGATTTCTGGAAACTCTTTCCGTCAAGCCTGATGTTCAGTTCGCACGCTGCCTGCCAAAGAGGACCCAACCACCAATCTGTGCAACAGTCTGAACCCACCCCTCTACAAGTCTAACTTGGCGAGTAGCTCCATGGCGAAATGTGGGGCACGCTCGACGGTCAGCTGGCACAAGGGGAACGTTTTTGAGGAATACTGGGTGCAGATCGGCTCTTCAGGAAGCTGCGCGACTCGCCGTGAAGCCGTCCAAGTTCATAGCCCAAAGCTCTACGAAATCCCTTGAGCCCTCTCCGCGTGCCTCTAAACGAGCCCGGTGGCTGGCCACAATGGAAACAACAGAATGGCACACGACCGCAGTCCAACTCCCAACACAACTCTGCGCCTCGTTCCAAACATCTAGCGCCTCGGAGTGCCACGGATCAACAACAAGCAACAAGCCTATTTGCCGGTCTACAGAAATCTCCGCTGGCTTTGCCGCAACCAGGACTCATCCAAACCTGCCGCATGCCTTAGTCCGGCGCCATGCCAGCGCAGTCGAAGCCTGGTCCCATGTTCCTTGTCGGGAGCCAGAAGCTTTGACGTCTCGAGCTGCTCACAATTTGAAAGGCTCCCCGAAGGGTCAATGCTGGGCCCAGGCACGCGGTGGTCGCAGGCACCCGCACGGTGACTCGCCTCAGCGACAGAGAGCAACAAGCCACAACACTCTGTAGGCAAGACGCGCAACACGTCAACCAGAACCTGAGTTTGTGCAATTCCGTTTGCGACATTCCGCATGACGCGCTCACCTGCGCAATTATTCTGACAATGGAGAAACGGAGCATCCAGTCAAGTCCAGTGATCGTGAAACACTTACGAGGAGCTTTTTTGGAGTGCGGGCGAACATTCAATTGACGTCGCATCCCACCCGAGCTATAAAGACAAATCAGCCTCCCTAAGCCCTACAATCCCCCAAGGGCAGTTTGAGATCTGGAGAGATGCAGCTGCGGCTGCGGCTTTCGACTTTTTGTGACCACGCCGTCGAACATCTTCTTCAGATCTGCCCTTGCGAGCCTGCGAGGTTCGATGAAAGACAATCAGTCGCTTTTTGGGTCTTGGAGTCTTGGGCTCTAGGGCTTAAAGGGTTTATAGGGTTTAGGGGGTTTAGGGGGTTTAGGGGGCTTAGGGGCTTAGGGGCTTAGGGGTTTGGGGGTTTAGGGGTTTAGGGGTTTAGGGCGGGGTTCTTGGTGGTGACACAGGGGCTTCAGGGGTCTACACTTTCAGAACTCGGACAATCCAGGAGAGGTCTCGAGTGTAGTCGCTGTGGAAACAAGTTAGCTTCAGGGCCCTTTGGGCGGGGTTCACGTGATGTCAGGATCCGGGTCATGCTGAGTTTTGGCAGCTTCAAGCAGGCCTATGGGACTCAGCCCAGCATCGCTTCTGAATCCTGCACCCTTGAAAGCTTCATCCAATATTATCATAGGCATGACTCAGGTGGCGGCTCGCTGAGACTGTGCTTCTCAGCGAACTTTTGCACCTTCACAGAGAGATATACTGAACGTTGCGTTTTCGAGATGCTTCACCATGTGCTGCACAACTTTGCGAGGGTCAGGTGCCAAGCAAGCCGCAACATGCACCATGCACGATTGTTCGCAGAAGAAAAACGTGGTAGCACGAGATCCCGTGATCTCCAAAGGCGTCCGGAAACACCCTCCGCCCTCCATAGTAGAGGCTTGTCAGCTACTTCAGGTTCGATTTGAATAGGTTGAACGCATTCCACCTCGCCCCTCGCATACAAACACACGCAGCTGGAACACTACGCAACTTTCACGGAAAAGCCGGGGTCATTCAAGGCCTCGCTGTGCCCCCACATGGCCTCGAGAAGCGACAGGGTCAAGCAAGCTTTCAGGACTCTCGCGGGGTTTCGACTCACACTCTCTCGCAGAGCTTAGGGTTCCAGGGTTTAGGAGGTTTTCCTTAGCCTTAGCCGAACGACTTGGGCCGATTCCTCCCAGGCGAAGAAGAGAAGCGAAGAGAGCCTCGGTTTGGAAGGCTCCGACAGGAGTGAAGTCAGGGTTGGGAAATGAGATGCGGTCCGACACCATTTGCATTTGCCGCTTGATTTATCAATCTGTGGAACTGTTTCCTGATGTTTCCTGGCAGTTGCCTGCGCGAAGCTGATGGTGCGATGCTACAGGCAGACCTGTGTGAATTTCAACTGCCTAGACTGGGAAACGAACAAATACGGCTGGCTAGGCATAGCTGACCATGAATCTGGACGGCCGGACAAGACGAAGGGCTGGCATGTGGGGTGCATACACGGCACGGCCCAACCTACTGCTACGACTCCTGATTACAAGCCCAGACGTTAACCAATGGATCGCACGAATGATTAAAGGTGACGGCGGTGATGGATGAGACTATAAGCGATGATGACAATCGAAACCCAGGCACTCGCGACAATGGATACAAAGCCACCTTCCGCGAAATGGGAAACATCAAAGCCGCCTCAAGAGAACATACAACTTACTGTCACCGACCGGCAACTTACAGCCTGCCCGTCAGATGAACAGATGACAGTGAGAGTGTAGCTCCAGCTCTGTGAGCTAGAGCTCTCTGAGGTCCTTACCCTAGGCTCAGAGCCCTTGATCGTGCTGCATGCCATGCAGGCACCGAGCTGAGCCGAGCAGCCACGGATGTCGGCGAATTCAATACTCTCTTGGGGGTTCCTTATTCGTATTATAAGTATTTTCGGAAAAATTTACCCAAAACCCTATACCTTCTGAGAAGGGAACAAGAAGTCTGCAAGCCGCTTCGTGACCCTTCCCGTCACACACGCGAACGCGCCCAAAGTATAATATGCACGGCACTGTAGCAAGAGTACGAGTGCGGGAGGGACACGCCCAGGACTGCGGCGGCAAGACGATGCGCACGGCACGACTGCGAAATTCTGAAACTTGAAAAAAATCCCTACTGATGAGCCCCGAGCAGACGAGCAGTGTGCCCCTGCCCAGCCATTACCAAAGCACGACAACACCTAGCAAGATACTGCACTGATACTGCTGTGCCTGTCCCGGGCAGACGACTGCAATCCCAGACGTGGCAGACCGGAAGCCACGCAAGCCTTTGGGGCTGCCGCTTTGTATTTTCGAGGCATGCAAGTTCCGCAGCGCTGGCGAAAGGACGCCGGTCCGTGCGATGTTCCGTTGGTACACAAAGCAGACATCGCGGAGTCCAGAGCTGAAGAGCCGAACAGAGAAAGAGGGTGACACTCAGCTGTCTCAGCTTGTCACATTGAGTGGTGGCAGGCCTTCTGCAGCTAGACTCTGCTAGACTTGAAGCAAAAGCATGAGGATCAACTCTGCATGCCCTTTCCCACGGCCTCCCATACATGGCCTGCAGTGCAACATCCGCAAACGTCTCGATTTCAGAGAGCTCGGACTAAAGGAAGGGCTCCTGCTGGGCGCTCCTGTGGCGATCAAACTCGCCAAGCAAGAGCCGATCGGAAGCCAAGACAGTGACGGGAAGATGGCTTCAAATTACCGAATCATCCAAACCCTACTGGCCCTACTTTTCAGGATCCTTCGAGATTCTAGCTTGTACGATTAAGAAGTCCAAGTATGGGAACACGGTTCTCCCTACGCCTTTCCCAAGACTAGCAAGGACGGCTTCATGCCGATCCTCTGCAATTCCTGGCCTCTCAGTAGCCTTCCAGGGGTGTTCGCGGCCTCGTGACCTGGCAGAGCCCGCGAACCGCATGTAGGTGGCCGGCTAGTTGAAAAGAAACTCTGGCTCATGGGCCCATCTAACCTCTACATAGTCCCACCCCTTTCTGCCCGTCCCTCGACGCAGCTTCATAGAAGCCTCTGGCCTATGGCAAAGCACCCAATGGCGGAACTCGTGTTGTTCACTATGGACCTTTTTTCCGCGAGCGCTGCCCTCGGCGATGTCTTCAACCGCATCCCGATCCCGTAGTAGTTCCCGGAACCGGGCTCCACGAAATGAGCCACAGGCCCTGGCTGAACATGCTACGCAGCTCAATCAGCTTACAGGTGATGGTCAGAGTTACCTTTATCGGATTGCCAGACTCATGAGCTACATTCCATACCCTCCTTTCGCTTTGCCTTCTGCGTCGGGGCTGTGCTGTGCCTTCACTTCTAGCTGCGCTTGACCCGGCCTGAAAACTGCAACTTCTGCGTGGAGGGCACAACATCTTCAACGTTGAGCCGGCTGCGATGCAGAAAACGGAACTGCACAGCTGCAGCCGCACATTCGCACATCTGCCGGTCGGAGACTTGGTAGCGGAAAAAACCCTTCGACGGAACCACCAAAGTCTCGGATTCCTCATGCCAGACAGGACTGTAGCCCACAGCTGGCAACCAAGGCTCTCGACAAGGAAGGAAAATATGCGGCCTCTAAAACACACCATAATCGAATGGTGCCATCTGCCACAGCATTCTTCTGAGCAGAACGCACGGGCCATCGTGCAAATGTTCAAGAGATCCAGCAGTGCAAGGATTCCGTTCAGTATCTCGCTGCCGGCTGGTGCATATAGGCATGAATCCTGGCACAACTGCGTGAAACGTCGCTGGCCAGTCCCATTCAGAAAGCAAGCCGAAGCCGTTCTGAGAGTTTAGTAGCTGCCGGCAGCCCTAAGCCGCCCAAGCTTGTCGGGCGGGACTGGCCCTCAGAGGGCGCTTTAGCCCCGACTTGTCCTTGCGGCGAGGGTCACTTTTGTCTAGACTCTCGGGACGCCCTCCACCGTTAGCACCTATTGCACCCTTCGCCCCTTTGCGCAGCCAAGGAGCTTGTGCTAAACTTCGCGGACAGGGACAGGGCTGGTTGCGCTTCTTGTCGGTGTTGAGGAGCACGTGTGTCTGGTGCATGGGACGCACACAGAGAAGAAATCCGAGGCTTCCCAGGTGACCCTTTGTCCGTGTGCCCAGAAAACAAGGGCCGAAGGGCCTGGCCTTATCTCGTCGAGATCGGGCGGGTTCGACTCGGACATTGATTGCCGACGCCGATCGTCCGTGGCCTTGATGTGCTGGTACCTGTGGGGGCTCTTACATCCGGATCCACGCTTACCCGGTCTAAGGGTCTACTTAGTCTAATTGGCATCACACTACTTACACTATTTGGTGTGCTGGAACTCGGGCGGCTGAACGGGTCGCAAAACTGCTTTTCAAGGTCACAGGCGCAATGGCCCTTCACCCTGACACTGCACTGAATTCGACGCGACACACGCCGGGTGGTCCCAGCTCAATATGCCGCAAGATCAATTCGGAGCTCTGTAGCTGTGTCAACAAGATGCGCTCGACAGCCGGATGTACGGAGCAGCATAAGCAAGTGGCTCTGAAGAATCAAGTTGTCCCAAAGCCAGGGCACGTAGAGTTCTCAAAAACATGCTGCACGTCCTTGTCACCTCTCACGGCGCCCAGCACCTCTGCGAAAAGGACCTGTCACGCAGTGAGGCTGGGAGACGGAAAGGATAAAAGCATGGCCGCACGGTAGAAGAATCTCTGGCATCGTGCAATGGGTGTTCGCGAGCATATGGCAGGGCTTGGCGAGCCTTACAACAGAAGTTCCACATGTGTGCCGGATGTCGGGTGTCGCTTCAGAGCAGCTGAAGCCGCGAACCCTTAATAGCACAGAAAGGTAACGAGACTGTGTGATTCCAACCCCCGCCGGCCTTTCCACCCTCTTGTTGTGCTGGCAAGAATTGCGAGAACAAGACTTCGAAAAACAGATATTTAATGATAACAATCAATATAATAATCAGACTAACCACGGAGGCACGGAGGACACCAGAAGGACACCTGACCCACACGTCTGCCTCCAGCTTTGTCTCAATGCGCCAGATGTCCAAGGCTTTCCTGAATTCTGAGCACTGCTATTTTTTAACTTCCATGGAAACGGAGACCTCAAAACATCATGCATATCCGTGAAAAGGCCACCCCGAGTCTGAATGAGAATCTCTCATGCAATCTTCCTCGCCGCAAGCTGAGCACATAAGTCTACCACAACATACTGCAGAATATACGATGATATGTATTTGTATGCCTTTTTTATACTATAACGTTCTGTTGTAGTTATAGTCAGTTATAGTCTTTAGCTTTCTATAACCTTGTGCAGTATTTAGCATGCATTCACACACTATAACAGATAGATGTTGCCTGCATTGAGATTCGCTGCCCATCACGGTTGTAATCTCTTCTGCCCAAGCGACGCACCACCCCGGAGCCGCGCTGCTCCTTCGATGAATTCCATCCTCGAACGATAACACCATCAACGGTACTAGTTCGGAGAGCCCGCGCACTACAGTGAGCCACTTTGAAGGTTTCTGGATGCCGTACACAACATGGAGGAACTGGAAGTCAAGTAATGAATGCCCTCCGTGCTCGCAGGAAGATCTGAGCCAGGCTCTGCAAGATACAGCGGCTATGGTTGGACAAGCAACAAGGTGATTTCACCGTCTCCATTATCCAGAAACTCGAAGAGGCTCATCAAGTCATGGTACTCCAACCTTGGCCAAAAGCTTGCCATGCAGAAGCCAACTAAAACGTGCACCAACATCCCAACCGATATCTTTACTGTCCATGTCATTCGAGCATGGGAGCTCATTGCATTCAGGGCGGCCGGGAAGCCGGGGGCTGAATCGACTGAAGCCGAAGCCGAATTGGTGAAGCTGCATTGTGGTAAGTGACGCCGCATTGCGATGCTGCATCGTCTGACGCCGCATTGCGGTGTGACGCCGAATTGTCCCCTCACGCGGAATTACCCCCAGACGCCGACTTACCCCCTGACGCCGAATTGTGAAGCACCCCCTGACGCCGAATTGTGACGCCGAATTACCCCCTGACGCCGAAAAGTGCAGCCGAATTTTCACCTGGCGCCGCATTACTTGTGAAGCCCAATTACCCCCTGACGCCGGATGATGAAACCGAAATACCCCTGCATGTGGCGCTGTGGGTTGCCCAAATGAGGGCGGTCAGTATGGCTCTAAATCTTCGCAAAAAGCACCGTCTGGTTGTGTTGATTCGGGTGCTCGGGCTCCGGGGTTTAGGGCGTAGTGTTTGGGTTTGGGGTTTAGGGATGGTTGTAGGATGTAACGCCTGTAGGTTTAGGGTTGGTCCTGGCATTACAGAAGGGACGCGCTCGGAGCCCTCAACCCAAAACTAGGACCTGCCGAGTTTCGGGCAAAAAGTAAAACCGCGCACACCAAACCCTAATCGCAAGCCCTGAACGTTCAACCCTTCCAAACCTTACACTCTAAACTAATTCAAACTCTTACACCCAAAACCAGACCCTGAACCTCCTCTGCACTACATGCTCTTTTTCTGCACCTCCTCCAACAGGGGTTAGAAATCCTGTGGGATAAGCCGCGAGGCGCGGAAAAAGAAGGCTCCAGCCCTGCATTCCATGCAGGCACAAACGGCCTTACCCCCCTAAGTGATGATTATATGGTGGGTTGGGATCTCGGATTCGAAGGCTCCGGGTTGCTTGCAATCCAGACGTTTAGGGGCTTTTTTCCCTCCCACTTAGCCAGTTTAGTTTCGGGTTTTTTTTGTCACCTCTTTTCCTCCTGCCCTGTTTGGTTAGTCGGAATGCCTTACAGGCTGAGGCTGCTGGCCAGGGCACCTATCCAAAGGATTCACCACCTACTACCACTCACCCCCCCACTGGCAGGTCCCTGGCTGAAGAGACCGCAGTGCACACCCTCAGAGTGTACAGAAGCTCGGGCGACAGCACTGGATCAAAGGCAAAAACGCAAAGCTCGGCCCGGGGCAAAGCAGGAAGTGCATCATCCCATATATTCAGCAGTTTCGGGTTTGGGGTATAGGGTTTAAGGTTCAGGGTTTTGGTTTAGGCAAGACGCAGCTTCTGTCTCAAAAGAAGGATGAGTTAGGGGTTCAGGATTTTGGGCTTTAAAACTTTAGGGGTCATGAGATCTGCAGCAACCTGGCGGCAGCAGTTCAGTAGGTTCGGGGCATGTTTGCTTTAGAGCTCAGGGTGTGGATTTACATTTGCAGATTCAGGGCCCCTGCTCGATTTGGGATTCTAAGCAGAGAAGATGATGCTGTTTTTCATATCAGGCACAGCACTCTGGCCTCAAGCACGGAACATGGAGCCCGTCTGTGACAAACACCCGATTCCTGGAGACCCCAAACCTCTCGTTCGCGCTGCTAAACTGCAACCCTTATACCCCAGACTACCCCTCAATTCCAATGCCTTTCGCCTGGCGTCGGAAGGGCTCGTGACCATGGCGCGCCGCGTGTCCTGACCAAGCTACCTTTGGAAGTGGCCGACACATTCTGACCAAGCTACCAGTGGCCACAAAAGTACCAAGCCTCAAAGTCTTTGACCCTGATCCAGCGCGCAGTGAGTCGGGAAGGGTTCAGGAAGGGTTCTTCTTGCGTTGGGTGGCATGGCTCGTTGAAGGCTGCTTCGGGAGCACATCCAGCACCCAGGCATCAACCATGGCGCACGACGCGGCCCGACCAAGCTACCCTTTGTCTCCTGATGCAGCTTCGCAATGCTCTTCGCCTCCTAATTCGGCTTCGCAAAGCGTCTTCGCACGTCTAATTCGGATTCGCAATGCATCTTCGCCTCCTAATTCGGCTTCGCCTACGTGGCCCTTTAAGCACCAATGCGGCTTCGCAAAACGTCTTCGGCTTCAGGTCGATTCAACCCCCCGCGCCCCGGCCGCAATGCATTGATGACCGTCGCAGCATAACA